GTGCTTCATGGGAGGCGCAACCTGCACCTTAAGTCTGAACAAACAGCTCAAATCTTCACAGCAAGCCAATGACAGAGGAACTGTTATCATCTCCATCTTACAAAGGAAGAAAATGAGCACCGAAGGGTTGACTAACTTGCCTCTATCACACATGTCAATTAAATGGCGAAGCTGGGATTCCAGCTTTCCAAAGTCAGTGTTCTTAACAGGAAACACTGAAGCAGGGGTCAAATCTGTCTGCGTGAAGAAAGCAGAGATTGTGTCTTTGGTGCTGCACGGTTGTAAAAGATCTTAGTAGGTCCTGTCTGTAGATTTTAAATTTGAGGCCTCAGAATTGAACTCTAACTTCAGAAGGGAAATCAGATATACTAGCTGAAGTTTTCTATACAGTAAACTCCTGTCCTTGGGAATTCAGAGTTCCAAGACATCACTAGCCTTCTAGGTTTCCTCAAGGAGAAAAGGTAAAGTGCCCCTGAGCATACAAAATGGGTGTCATAAGTGCAGACACTGAAGGTGGATGCCTGGGCTCTCACTTGTAACCTTATTAAATTATTAAACTACTAGAGGCCCAGTGCATGAAATTCGTGCATGGGTAGGGTCCCTAGGCTTGGCTGGCGATCAGGGCCGATCTGTAGGGCAACCAGCGGGGTGATCAGGAGGCTCCAGCTAGCACCTGCCTTGGCTGGCCTGGGGCCTGCAGGCTGAGGGCAGCTCCTGCATTGAGTGTCTGCCCCCTGGTGGTCAGTGCATGTCATGGCGACCGGTCATTCTGCTGGTCAGTCTGCCATTCAGGCAATTTGCATATCAAGCTTTTATTGTATAGGATAATTCTTTAGTGCATGCTTCCTTGTCTATATTCCCAGCCCACAACCAGTAAGAAGCCCCCAAAGACAAGAGACCCAAAGGAGATATTCAACTCTGGTCCTTTAATTCAATAATCCCTGAGCTTAGACTCTGTGTTTGAGGTCGTTGGCACTCACTTAGATGACAAGGTGAGCTAGCTGATGTCCCTTCTCCCCACCATAATGCCCATGGCAACTACATAGGAAACCCACAAGGAAACAGATCTGTATCTTCCCTCCATGTGCAAAGAGTACACGTTCAATACAACCTAGAAACAACCCCAAATAGGCATTTATGTCCAGACTTCTCTATTTCAGAATGCCTGGGAATTTATTAAGCATTTGAGAGTGGTTTCTGTAACAACAGGCAAGCAACAATTATCTGGGGAAATTGCTCTATAGTTGTGGTTCTCAACCTTGGCTGTACACTGGAATCACCCAAGAAATTTTAAAAATTTCTGCTCAGACCACAGACCAAACAAAAGACATCAACATATTGGGAGTTAACTTTTTCTTATTAAACTTTCCAAGTGATTCCAGAGTGAGACAAGGTTGGGAATCACTGTGTAGAATATCAACCCATCAGAAGTGCTGAGCAAATGTGGCTTTATTTCTCATTTATTGGGTATATAACTGGATCTTTTTTTATTATTATTGATTTTTTACAGAGAGGAAGGGAGAGGGATGGAGAGTTAGAAACATCGATGAGAGAGAAACACCACTCAGCTGCCTCCTGCAAACCCCCTACTGGGGATGTGCCTGCAACCAAGGTACATGCCCTTGATCAGAATTGAACCTGGGACTCTTCAGTCCTCAAGCTGATGCTCAATCCACTGAGCCAAACCGGGTAGGGCCCTGTAACTGGATCTTGTCGCCATCTATACAAGTTGACATTTTGTTTGTTGATTGGGAGCAATTTGTTGAACAATTTTATTGAGGCATATTTTAGAGATTATAAAACTCACTCATTTCAAGTGTAGACAACTCACAATTTTTATTTTTTTAAATATATTTTATTGGTTTTTTACAGAGAGGAAGGGAGAGGGATAGAGAGTTAGAAACATTGATAAGAGAGAAGCATCGATCAGCTGCCTTCTGCACACCTCCCACTGGGGATGTGCCCGCAACCAAGATACATGCCCTTGACCAGAATCGAACCCAGGACCCCTCAGTCTGCAGGCCAATGCTCTATCCACTGAGCCAAACCGGTTAGGGCCAACTCAACAATTTTTATTAATTTTAAAGAGGATACAACCATCACCACAAGTCAGTTTTAGAACAGTTTCATCTCCCTGATGAGAACTCTGAGGAGCATGGCTGATTTAAAGGGACTCAATGGTGTGCTGACAAACCACATAGACAAGGGGTAGTACTGATTTCCAGAGTCTGCCTACTTCCCTGACATAAATACTCCTACCTTGAATCATGTCAAGCCACTAAGGATTTAACAACCAGCTTGCAAAACTGCTAAAAATTTACTATTTGACTTGAGCCAGTACTTGCCCCTCCAGGACATCACTGATATACCTTTTCTAGGTAATAACATATGAGAAGACTTGAAAATGACTCGTTGCCTCTGGCAGAATTCTGAATATAAATGAAGCTTTGTTCCCCAACCATTAAGTCACTGGTTAGGTATGACCTGTACCAAAATTTCTGGTTAATTTAGATTTTTTTGAAGCTCCATAAAAACAAAAATGATTTAATGTACTTGAAAGATAAAAATAGTTTTAATGGCTTCATTTTAAAAGTATTTTAATAGGTTGTTTGATTAGATAGCTAGATTTTTACATTTGGATTTTTGATAGCTACAGACAGATAACTTGTCAGACACATTCCCTCAGGTGTTGATTAAATTAAAGAGATAGCAGATGTCTTTGTCTTTTGGTCCCTAGTTTTCTTCAGGCTATAGAATATGTAAACTCTGCAAATTAAACCCTGACCTGCAGCCAATCCCTCACCTGCCTGTCTAGGACACACATGACTTGCTCAGAGCACAGTCTTATTCCTTCTGAAGTACTTCAGTAACTCAGATGGATTTCTGTGTCTCATTTATAGAAATCCATAAATGAAAAACATTTATTTTCTTTCATCTTGAAGGTATCAATGTGTCTAGCAGCAAGAAAAAACAAAAGTATCTGCAACTGTTGCTCAGCTTCACTGACACCTTGGCGGATGGGGTTGGGGGAGGGTGGGTAGCAGTAAGGGGTAAGGGGGTGGAGAACGGCCCAGGAGAAGCAAGAGGTGAGCTGGGAACAGTTGGGCTGTTTGCTACTTTCAAAAATGAAGCCATGGGAGAATGAAACAAGTGATGAATAGCAGAGACAGCACCTAAATCACGAACCAGTGTGGGATTGCTCGTCAGTTAATACCTAAAAATTCCAGAAATTCTCTGACTATAACAAAGTTTCCTATAAGATAATGGAGAAATAATATAGTTGTATAGTTTATAAAGGAGTCACTACAGACACAAAAGGGATACTGAGAAATGCAAATAATTTAGGATATTTTTAAATTACATATTCAGATTATTTGAATATGTCTGACAAATACAATAACTATTTGTATTGTATTTGAGAAATACAATAACTATCCTCTTTTCTCTATACTTTCCCAAATACTTTTTTTAAAAATATATTTTATTGATTTTTTACAGAGACGAAGGGAGAGAGATAGAGAGTTAGAAACATCGATCAGCTGCCTCCTGCATAGCCCCCTCCAGGGATATGCCCGCAACCAAGGTACATGCCCTTGACCGGAATCGAACCTGGGACCCTTCAGTCCGCAGGCCAATGCTCTATCCACCGAGCCAAACCAGCCAGAACCCAAATACTTTTCTTCATAAGAAAGTGTCAGTGTCTGGCTGTGTTGGCCCGTGTCAAGAAACTAGACTCTAACCGCTGGATATTTAAGTAAACAAATGGAAACATCTCTCATTTCTCTCCCCCTTAACCTTCACATAAAAGAGAAGGTTAGAATAGATCAGGGATCAGCGAACGATTTTTTGTAAAGTGACAGGTCATAACTATTTTAGGCTTCTCAGGCCTGTGATCTCCGCCAAAACGTTTCACATCTGCCCTTGTGGTGGGAGAACAGCCAGAGACAACAGGAACAATGACCAGGATGGTGCTCAAACGAAATGCTGTTATTGGACACTGAAATTTGAATTTTATATAATTTTTATGAGTCACAAAATATGTTTTCTCCCTCCCATCCCCCACCACTTAAAAACATAAGCTAATGGCTTTCAGGCCACACAACAACATGTGCTCTGGCAGGAGCTGGCCCTCAGGCGATGGTTTGCTCACCCAAGAAGTAACTGATAACAACCCAAGGAGTTCTTATGATGAAGCGGACGTTTGGCACACACTAGCGCTGGTCTCTACTGGGTATTGTTATGCCACCTTTACATGCAGAGGCTCAGTAGCAGAGGAATCAGCTGCCTGACATCTAGCGAATCTGGGTCCCGAATCCGAGCTGGGATTCTCTCTTGTGGCGATAGTCATTCTTCACTGACCCCCTACTCTGCCTGCACTTGCCATTCCCATCCACGATGTCCTTTAGCCTCCACAATTACACGTTCAATGTGTATAATTATGCCCCTTTCATAGATGCAGAGGGTGACTTCAGTTTAGTTCTGTGAACTGTCCGGGTTACCAACCTCTTAGTGCTGCAGCTGAGTGACACACCTAGGAGAGGACCCTCTTTCCACTGATCCAAGTAGGTATATGTTCTGATCATGGCAGTTAGTAATCACTGGATGCTCATATATGCCAGGCACTGTTTTAAGCCCTTGGCATATAGCACTTATGAAAGTCACACACCACTGTAGATTGATACTATTAAATATGTCATTCCCATTTACAAATGAGGAAAGTGAAGGACAGACCTATGATGACGTGCCCAAGTTTTTACATGCTCGAAAGCTTCAAATTCATTTTTGCTCCAGAGTCCATGCGCCTGTCCACTAATGAAACTTCCTAATTTCCATCAAACTTCTTTCTTATTATACTAGCACGATATATTAGTGCTAGCATGAACTAAAAGAAATACAAAAGTTCTGTGATCACTACAACCAACAAATTGTACTACTACAAGACATTATTCTTTCACATTACTCATGTAATACACATACATGCACAAGACAAAACCAGGTTATTATCCTAATTAATAAGAAGCAGGTATTGAATTTTGTGTAGATTTCATAGGGGTGGGGGCGCTAGACAAATCGAGAAGGTTAAGAAAAGTCTAGAAAAGTCAAAGCTTTAAAGGAATCTGATGACAGATCTGTGATAGCAAGTAGAGCAATAACGCTTGTTCCTCTTCTGTGCACAATTCTGTAATCTTGGAGTCTGAAAACGGAAGGTGCGTCTCTTGGGGCGGTAGGAGAATATGTAACTGGTGTGCAGTTTGCTCTCTCTTTGACTCAAGCAAATTTCCTCTTCAGTTGTTGTGTTTTCTGTTCCTCTATGGGTGGTGGTGACTTCCTTCGCCTTACATGTGGACATCTGTTCACACAGGTTCTTCACGTTGAGTGGGGTCACTTTGTTTCATTCATTCACTTTCCCATTCATTCAGGGATCCATCTGTTGTTGATGATATATACAGTGCTGGTGAGGGATACTGAAATTAAGAGAAGAAAAAAAAAAAGGCTGTCCGTGGCAGAGTTTATAGTACAGAGAACAGAGAATGCACAGGCCTGTGCAGTTAGAGAATGCAGGGTAGAGTGGCTTGAGGGGGGTAACTGTCTGCATAAAGCGTATGTTATATAGCAGGGTGCAAGGGGATCATGGGACCTGGAGAAGACGCCCTTGGGACTGATAGGATTTTGTTGTCAGTTGAAGTCAGAAAACAATGAAATAGAGGGGAGATAGCTAATAAAAGAAGGAATCTGGAATCTTTCTGCATCCCCCAACGTTTGGGGCTCTTTCCTCTAGTCCAGCGGTTCTCAACCTGTGGGTCATGACCCCTTTGGGGGTCGAACGACCCTTTCATGGGGGTCACCTAAGACCATCGGAAAACACATATATAATTACATATTGTTTTTGAGATTAATCACTATGCTTTAATTACATTCAATTTGTAACAATGAAAATACATCCTGCATATCAGATATTTACATTACGATTTATAACAGTAGCAAAACTACAGTTATGAAGTAGCAACAAAAATAATTTTATGGTTGGGGGTCACCACAACATGAGGAACTGTGTTAAAGGGTTGTGGCATTAGGAAGGTTGAGAACCACTGCTCTAGTCATAGCTTCCCAAAAGAGGCCCACTCTGTCTCCTGTACCAGCCCAAAATTGTCAAAGGCAATGCCGCCCCAAAACAATGGCCCTGAAGCAGCCTTTTACAGGGACAGGCTGCCAGAGTGCCCAGAGTAAGTGCAGAGTCAAGCTTGATTCTACTCAGACAGGAGGCCTCCTGAGAGATCCTCTGGTTTTGGATTTCTGTGCAGCCCTGCTAGTGCTCCTCAAGTTCTTATCCACAGATATTTTTTCTAGTCAGTCATTGAGCTTTGGGTCCCACTCCAAGTCAAACAAACATTCCCTGGTCTTTTGGTCTTGTAGTCATGCGTGCAGGCCAACCTGGGGACTGGACAGATGGGCCTCTGCTAGAATGAGATGCCATTTGCCACCCCCCCTCCCCCCCCAGTCTCTCCCAGTCTCTGACAACCCTGGGTGTTGATCCACCTCTGCATTGGACTCTTTATGAGTCTCTGTCCCTCTCCTCTTTGGCTTCTGCCTTTGTCTCTTGAATACTGTTTGGGTACTATTTGTGTTCCTAAATCACTGCCCTGTATGCTTCCGGCTATTTGTGTGAGCTGGTGTGCCTTTCTTTCTCTGTCTCCAAGTTTTGGTCTCTAGCTTTCTATCTCTGTAGCTCTTAGCTTGTGTGTCTTTGAGTCTTTGTGCCACTCTGTGTCTCTGAATCTCTGAGTCTCTGTCTTTCTCTCTATCTCTGTGTTCCCATCTTTCAGAACTTCTTACCTCATTCCTCGGATTCCTTCAAGAACAGGTTTATCTGGGTCTCCAACTCCCACAGAATTATCTTCCTCCTTGGAATCCTGTCTCTCTTTAGGTGAGCCTGAACGAAACAACAACAAAAAACTTGGGGCCCGCCTTTACTTCATTGTTTGACCAGACACTCACATAATTCTGCCTGTCACCAGATCAGGTATGCTTCTCAAAGCCAGGGCAGCTGGCCTCACCATTTAGCTCTGCTATTAGCGCATGCAGATTTAAAATGGCAACATGGAAAACCACAGACAATCTGGTTTCATCACAGAAACCGCCTTCCTGGAAAGACTGTGGCAAGTCCTTCTTCCAGCCTCTCCTGTGATTACACTATGCCTATCGGAGGCCTCATTAGAACTTTCCAACTCCTGTGCAAAGCCTTTGCTTGGTTCTCTGTACTTGGACAGAGACCACCTCTCTGGCCAATGGAAAGATAAGCCCACATTTGTGATTATGGCAGTTAATGTTCATCAATGGACCATACTGTCTTTTCTTACATATGTCACAGTTTGCCGATAATGTAAATTGCCGCATGGATAGCTCTTGAACTAAATAAGACATTTCCTTATCCTAAACCATGATTTCTGATGGTAGAAAGGGCCAAATGCTTTATCTTTCACAAAATCAAAGAACCTAGCACCAGCTCCATAAACAAATGAACATGAAGGAAATCAGCAACTAAACAATCCTATGGAATGACTCAAGATTTAAGGACAGACTGACCCAAGTTAGGATTGCTTAGAGTGGGATTACCTAACAGAATCATCTTAGAGAACAATCTCCACCTTGTTCAGAAGGGCTCTGAGGCCAAGTATAGGCTTAGCGAGAAAGAAGACAGATCAGTGAGCTTTATCTATGGCCTTAGAAAAGGGGAGTGGCATCATATGCTATGAGTTTGTTAACTTTGTTCTAGAGCAGCGGTTCTCAACCTGTGGGTCATGACCCCTTTGGCAGTTGAACGACCCTTTCACAGAGGTCGCCTAAGACCATCCTGCATATCAGATATTTACATTGCGATTCATACTAATAGCAACATTACAGTTATGAGTAGCAACGAAAATAATTTTATGGTTGGGTCACAACATGAGGAACTGTATTTAAAGGGCCAGAGGTTGAGAACCACTGGTCTAGAGAGTTGAGAAAGTGTGTCAGGGTCATTGAAAAGTGAAAGTAATTTTGAAAGTGAAGAAAAGGAGGAAATTCTCTAGAAAAGAGTGCTTTTGTTGGCTGTTCAATTCCAGGCCATTTTAGCTGCTTTCACACAATTGGGTTGAACCCATTGCTTTGGGTTGAAATGTATGTCCTTACATTTCAAAATGTATGTCTCATTACAATTCTAATGGGACAGAATCTAGGTTCTCTATTACTTCTCTTTGCTTGGAAGGAGGAAAATATGTCATTAAACATATGAATAATCTGTAGACAGGGGTCACCAAGAAATATTCTCATGAATAAGTATGTAATCTAAGTGGATATGTGGCTCATGTTTTAAAGGGAAAGATCACTTTCTGTGCCCATCATTTTGCTAGCTTCATTTTTGCCTGACCCTTCCACGGAGGCCCTCAGTTTCAAGTGGCTCCAACTCATGTCTTCCTCCTCCAAGAAGCTTTCCCTGATCCTCCCAGCCTCCTGTGAAGTGCCCTTCTGTGCCATTTACTGTCCATTTCACTGAGATGGCGGCTATTCCCGGATCTGCCGATAGCACTGGCCTGCAAATCCTCCGCTTCCCTCCCCATTGCTACTGGAAAGCCACTTAGCACCTTGCCCTCTTTGTCCTCCTCCTCAGATGCCACGCACCGTGAAGTCAAACCATCAAGGTTATTGGAATGAATTGAAGTGTTTAGGACCAAGAGTCCTTTACCTCTTCGATTTTCAAAGTCTAAACTGCATATCAATCACATGAGGCTGTTGATAAATACAGGTTATACCTCAGCAGGTGTAGGGGGCCTGAGAATGTGAGTTTCTAACAAGACCTCAGGGCAGAGGAGCAAGGCTTCCCATTGTTTCCAAACACCAGGTGCCGCCTATAAGTGTCGTAAGGTCAGTTTAGTGGGTCACAGTCAGTATTTGTTCAAAGAAATGCAAGAGGAAAGAACAGTGAATAGCATCTAGAATAGCAATGTTTCCTATAACATTTTTGGCTTTCTGTGTGTGTTTATAATGTATATCTGTATGTGTGTTTATACATATGGAGAGAGAGAGAGAAATACAAAATGTATTTATATCACAGGCCAATTCAAAAAGTTGAATGCAAAATGCGATATAAGCTTCTATCAGTAAATTAAGACAGTAAAACCCACGGGGATAAGAATCCATGAAGGTTCCACTATGCTGGGGCAACTTCCCAGAAGGTTCCAGCAGGAAGGGGCACTGAGGGAGAAGAGGCTGAATTTGGGAGCCAGTTTTCTGGATCAAGCTTGTCCTTTTTCTCTGTGGTTGAGCTTATTTCCTGTACGTCGCTGAGAGGCAGCTATGAAAATCCTGTAGTGGGTGGGTGTTTCCTAATTGGTGACTGTATCTCGGAAGGGATGATACCACCGTTTCCTTCAGGGTCAACTGCTGGTTTTGATCATCTCCAAAGCCCAGTACAAATCTTCCTCTGAAGCTTCATGAGTCTCTGCTCTGTTGCCTCTGTCAGCTCTGAGACACAGTAATGGCAACACGTGGGCCATGGGGCGGGGGTTGGGGGTGGAATATAACATTGCTTGGAATGTATTGTTACAAATCCTTGCTCTTTTTTCTTTTTTTCCTCCAGGGAAAATGAAACAAACAAACAAAAAATGTTTTAAGTGTTAGGAAAATGAACCTTATTCCAAACTCTTCCCAGCACCTAGCACAATGTCTGGTATAGTCAGAATATGTTGTATAATTAGCAATACTTATATCTTATTTTCTCCCGCAAAAGTTAGAGAATCATATAAAACATGTATAAAAGAAGACTGTTCCAACGCATGAAAATAAAAAGGGTCTTCTTACAAGGCATTATGTTAGTCACCTTGACAGATGAGAGAAAACCGAGGTTGTTACGTGAGTGGGGTCACGTGCTAGTAAGGCTGGAGACAAAAGCATCTTCTCCTTCACTGGCACCGCATGGATGTTCCGGGTCTAAGTTAGAGGCTTATTAGCATTCCTTTTCACTTGGCATTTCCCAATAGTGAAAAGGTTTTTTCTTGCCCTTAATTCTAAAGACATCACCCTTCAAATGCAGGAGGGGGGGCGGGGGGCCGGGGGGAGGTGCTAATGGAGTAGCAGAGGAAAACGACTTACATGTGAGATGTAATCAACAGTAGGTTCAGTGTGAGTCAGCAGCGTGATGCAACTGTCCAGAAAATAGCTCAATCTTGGGTTTCCTTCAGGTGTACCAGCAGCTAGAATAAGGGGGACCTGTGAGGCTTTGTTTTGCAAGTCAGACTTTAGCGTCAGACCTTAGCGTTAAGTTGATTATAAGAATTTGCAAAATAGTCAAAGGAGATAAGGTTTCTGGGTGATAAGGTCCCTGGGTGCTAAAGGGACAGAAGGACTGTCATAAAAGGAGAAGTTGAAGATGATGGAAAGGGAAGAGAATACATTCTAAATGCTTTTAACTATTTGTTTTTCTTTTTTCTTTTTTTTTTTTTTTACGTTTAAGTCTAACACCAAAAAACAGCTTTTGGACCATCTGTTGAAATCAGGAAACTAGCAATTCAATGTAGGCAAGAGTCTCCTGCCATCAATTATGGAAGCATGGAATGAGCTTACCTATGAAATAGTGAGTTCCCCGTCATTATGGACATCCTTTGGGGGTTCCCGGGTTGCCAGAGGGATGTCTGACTGCCAGCTTAGGCCCGATCCCTCCAGGGAGCAGGCTTAAGCCAGCAGGTGGACATCCCCTGAGGGGTCCCAGACTGTGAGAGGGTACAAGCCGGGCTGAGGGACCCCCCCACCCAGAGTGCACAAATTATTGTGCACCGGGCCCCTAGTTAGAAAATAACATTGTGTCCTTCAAGGCCTACTTCCATGTTGGCTCACTTAGGGAGTGGTCTTCATTGGGTGCTTCACTCTCAGGTATAAAGTTTGCAAAGTATTTGTCTTGTGCTCCTGACTTGATTCGTGGTTTCTTGAAGCCCAGCCAAAGGTTTTCCCATTTTTGTCCTTAGGACCTTCCCCGGCACAATGCCCAGCACAATGCTTTTCACAGGTTTGAAGCTTAATAAATAAAGATTTTGATAGAAGGTAGAGAAGGTTGGTTGTGAGAAAACTACCAATGTCATTCTACTATATTTTCCACTTTTAGTTCTTCATAGGCACAAATAGACATATTTCTACAAAAGATACGTAATATTATTAGTTTTTATAGTTACTTCCCTGGAAGATATGCTCATCCTAAGTTTCTGGGGGAAAATGTTTAACTCAATTAAAAGAGGAAGTTTGGGCACTTATGAAAGAGCTATTTGGGGAATGAGGATCCTCACTGCCCCACAGACATCAGAAAGTGTATGTAGGTGACTGTCTGGCGGGCCCAGGACTCCATAAAATCCAAGAGACGTCAAGATTGACTCAACAAGCTGTCACTGAAATGTTCACTGTGATTCTTCTTGCTTTATACTCCGTATATTTATATATTTATGATAAATAATTATTATTTAAAAGATTAGAATACAATTTTTTAGCAAAACTGCCATCAAGCTCTAATTATCGAAGAATTCTGTAAATGCTTTAAACACAGACTTCAGTTCTCATTGAAAAGCATCTAAAGGGATGTTCAAATCCTTAGTTTTAGAATTTTGTTGATCAAAATTTGTTGCTTCAAACATGTAATCTACTGGCTCGAACTAAATCTTATTCTGAAATGTTCATTCAAAATTTAATTATTGGCAAAAGGTATTTAAGAACTTAGAACCTTGTAGAGATTAGAGTTTTGATTGTAGCCAAACCTGAAGTACCTCTATAGCTTCACTTTTAATTCCTCCCATTATCTTTTTTAAAATTAAAGTATGATTGACATACAACATTATATTAGTTTTAGATTCCAATTGTCCTTTGAAAGCATTTTGTAGTGAGAAGATTTGAACCTTCAGTGAATCAGTTGAATGAATGAGGCTGTTTTGTGGGTAATAATTCAATAGGTTTTCTTATAAAATGTTTTTCCTTGCAATTCCTTTAAGCTGGCAAATACATTTCTAGTACAGGATAGAGGCATCTCTGCCCCAGAGAGGAAATGTGCTAAAGAAACACACATTAGAAAATGCAGATTTAGAAAATAGCTTGGAGACCTGTGTAGAAACTTCCTTACACAGACAGTCTTACGTTTTGCTTTTCTTATAAGGTTAACATTTCGGGCCATGGGATGTTACAATGGATGCCAGCGTGGCTCACGACAGCAGGCTCCCTCACACCCAGAATCAGGCTCTTCCTTGAAAGTCTTGTACACTATGCATGCTTCCTAATAGCA